CCACCTCAGCCTCCCACGGTGCTGGGATTACAGGTGTGAGCCACTGTGCCCGGCTGTCAAGATATTTTTATAATTGTGCAGCATTTGGATTTTGAGTTATGAAAAGGAATTTGCTTATGTCATGTTAATACTGGTATAGATTTTTAAAAATATTGAATTTCCTTATTGAGAGTTTATCATTTCCTTCAGTGTGAAGGACATATCTAATTTTTTTTTTTCCAAATGTCTGACAAGTTGTCTCAATACCATTTGGTAAAAAGCTAACCTGTGTCCAGTAATTTGAGATGGCATGTTTTTATGCATATTTCCTTATGTATTTAAATCTAATTATGAACTTTCTCTTCTGCTCCACTTACTTGCTTGTCTTTTATAAATAAAACTGTACTTCTCTTCAAAATGGAGACACCATATTGCTTTTTAATGTTTAATAGGGACAGTCACTCCTAATGGCTGTTGTGTATTTCCAATGTATTTTTGATTATATTTACACATTTGTCCATATACAGTTTTTGTTTTTTCTTTTTTTGAGACAGGGTCTCACTTTGTGACCCAGGCTGGAGTACAGTGCCACCATCTCCCTCACTGCAGCCTTGACCACCTGGGCTCAAGGAATCCGCCAACCTCAACCTCCTGAAGAGCTAGGACCACAGGCTTGTGCTACTACACCTGGTTAATTTTTTTGTATTTTTAGTAGAGATAGGATTTCACCATGTTGCCCAGGCTGGTCTTGAACTCCTGAGCTCAAGTGATCCTCCTGTCTTGGTCTCCCAAAGTGCTAAGATAACAAGTGTGAGCCACTGAGCCCCATCCATATACTTTGAAAACATCCGTCTATGTTCCATTAATGTTATTTGGGCAGCTTTTTGTGGGACTATGTTAAATGTGTTTGTTATCCTAGGGAGACCCTACATCTCAAAATGTCTATTATTTGCCTTGTGGCAAATACAATTTTTCAAGATCCAGCCCTTTTGACCTTTTTGGGAACTCTAGTCAAATGTTTAGATGCTGGTGTCTTTCTCTATTCCATCATTAATCATAGTTAAAAAATCACCAGTGATGTTGCAGAAAGAGTAATCCTTTAGCATAGCTGGTGATATGAGGAACATACTCATTGTAATTCAAGAAACAGTTACCATTTTACCTATAATTCACATCAATATCCAAAATACTCAGAGAAATGTGAGAGATACCAAATTTATTCTTTTATTCCATAGACAATATGTCAGAGATTTTTCCTGTCTATCCTTTTTGCCGGGAAAATGGAGTAGTTTTATAATTCACTCCAGAGAAACCTTTATTTAATCACCCATGTTAGGTGGACTAATTAGAGTTTTCAGTACCTGCTGCTCTCAAACCTCTGAAAAGAATTATCTACAAGTGTTATTGGTGGCGGGGTATTAGTATGCCAAAGCTGTTGTGCAATTTCTGCCAAACTCCTGAGATTTTATAGCTATAATGTCTTTTATCTGACTTGCAATAATGCAACTGAAGTAGCATTTTCTTTGAGATGTCTAAACATATCCAAATTTATAATATCTGAATAACAGAGTTCTAAGATGAATGAAATCTAGTGGCTGTGTTATCAGATGCCTGCCAAACATTTTTTTGCATTTATCTTCAGAGCCCATTATTTCCCATAAAAACCCAGCAGTGACTTTCATAACTTTTATGCATATGGGCTGGGTTCATTAAGACAGTACCTTCTTATCATTATTCATAGATGACTTTCTGATTCAAAGTTAACATGTAATATTATCATTAAGAAGCACAGAAAGAACCTTCATTTTCTAAGAAGTCATTAGCCAGCAGGCCTTTTTCTAATTTTTCTTTAGCATCAATTTTGTGTATTAATGAAAACGATTATTTTGAAGTATTTAACTGATAAGGAAAAGAATGATCAAAGAATTGAGATAATTTAGCCTGAAGAAGTAAAGCCTAAGAAATGATAGAGCTTAAAAAAAAATTGTGTAGAAAGCAACTGTTTCCCAATTCTTTAAAGATACCAAAGTTGGAAACCAGCCCAAGTTTGGAGGAAAATTACGCATTTTTGAAATTTTGATAGCATATACTGTCTTGTTTTTACAGGATGCACTTGCATGGTGGTTAATGGATTCTTCCATCAAAAACAAGTGTGAGAACTTCAGCTCCTGAATACATTGTTTGCTCACCCAGCTGGCCAACAAACATTTTAATAGGTGACCCTTACGATTGACAGTTTTCACAAGCAGCAGTACAAGATGACCAGTTTAATTTAAATTTCAGATATACTGGATATTTTTAGTATTAGTATATCCAGACAATATCTGGGAAATATTAGGTTGATGCAAAGATAATTGAATATTTATGCTAAAAAAGTGGGTTTTATCTAAGATTCAAATTTCACTGAGCAGCCTGTATTTTCTTTTCTTTTCTTTTTCTTTTTCTTTCTTTTTTTTTTTTTTTTTTTTTTTTTTTTTTTGAGGCAGTGTCTTGCTCTGTTGCCAGGCTGGAGTGCAGTGGTGGGATCTCGGCCTACTGCAACCTCCACCTTCCGGGTTCAAGGGATTATCTTGCCTCAGCCTCCTAAGTGGCTGGGACTACAGGTGCACGTGACCACGCCCAGCTAATTAATATATTTTTAGTAGAGATGGGGTTTCACCATGTTGGCCAGGATGGTCTCGATCTCTTGATTCAATTCTATTTCTGTGATATGCCAGGTAGCTAAACAAGCCAATTTGCCATAATCACCATATCCAATAATGTTCTTGATAGTGGGTGCAGACACATTTTCATGAATACAACCATGTTTTTTCAAACAAATAATATGCAAACCCTGAATATACAAGGTAGATAAACAGCAAGCTTTGGTTTGGCCACATTAGAGGGTGAAGGATTTATAGGGGCTGCAGATTTAACATCATCTAGGTCTTCTCTTTCTCTCTAAGAGGGTAGAGTGTGTTTTGGGTAGAGTGTGTGGGGGCATCCTCAAATTAAGGGGAAACTCTTATCAAGTGGAATGAAAATTTTGGGGCCATACCTATTTGTAATAGGCACAACCATTCACATTAGTGATTCGTGATGACTGGGCTAATTCAAAATAGATTAACCAAGAGTAATTCTAATTGAAGCATACTCACATGTATTATTTGTATGTGGCATAACAGTGTAAGACTTTTCTGAAATATGAATATCAAATATATAGGAGAAGAAACATATGTTTTATATGTATTTTCAATACTTTCTCAGATAAGGGCATGTTTGATCTAAAAAAAAATGAATGCAACATATATTAAGTACCTACAACCTACTCTGAATTATCTAAAAACTGTCAGAAATAAAATGATGAGTAAAAATAATCATTGTTCTCTGGAATTCATTGTCAGGTAGGGGAGAATGATGTGCCCATAAATAGCTCTATTCTAAGGCATATTGAGATAAATGCCATTTTTTATTTTGCTGGCTTAAAAGACAACAGGTATAGTGTGTTAGGCAGGAATAATTCTATCAAAATGGATACTAAGGCAGCTTTACCTAGTTCTTTGTATTTATAACTCATAGAGTCT